GCAGCAACAATGGAGGATCTCTTTCAGTAACCAGCTAGATCCTGAGGCAAGAGACGGTCCTGCCCCTGCAAGCACTCCACCAGCCATCAGGGAGCCAGCAGAGGCTGGGAAAAGCACCAGCCAACCCTATACCAGCACACCCAGTGGTCAACATCAGATACCCCTAGCCAGCACTGGCCAAAAGAACCAAATAATCTCACTTCACAGAAATTGTAGCCAATGCAGGAAGTGCCTGAGACACCACTACCCACTTGTTGGGAAGAACTCAGGGATATGTCAAGATAAAAAAGCAAAAGGCAGCCTCTGGCCTCCAACCCAAGCAGATCTGGTCCAGGAGATGTAAACACAGAAGAGATTGGGAGTTGCACACCTGAAGTTTCTGAAGTGATGGCAACTGAAGTAAAGAAACAATTCCATGAGACTATAAAAGAAATTAGAACACAAATACTTTCTTAGGTAAAAAGAAGAAACATAATAAAAGAATTGCTAAGTACCTCTAAAAAAGACACAGATTAAAAAAACACAGGAGAGGGGCTGGGGATTTAGCTCAGCGGCATAAGTGCCTGCCTTGCAAGCAGGCAGTCGTGAGTTCGATCCCTGGTACCGATAAAAATGAAAAAGACCAAAAAAAAAAAAAAAAAAAACACAAAAAAAAAAAAAAAAAAAACACAGGAGCATAGGAAAATGAGGGAAACTTTGAACAATATCAAAAAGATTTAGAATACATGAAACACATTCAAAGAGATTGCCAGGAAATTAAAAACTCCATTGAAAACTGGCAAAATCACTTAAAAGAAACTGAAGATAATACTGTTAAACCTCAAGACAGGTTTGCAGCTTGTGATTATGAAAGGAAAGATCTCTTAAAAATAACATGGAACCAGGCATAACCATTCAATGGCTGCAAGACAATAAAAAGAAACAAGAATAATAAAAGTGAAATGAGTGAAAAAGCAAGGGTCAACACAAATCACATAAAAAGTCTATTTACAGAAATAATTTCAGAAAATTTTTCAAGCATAGAACAAGGAAATGATATTCAGATAAGTGGGGCATATAGAACTCCAGCTAGCTGTAACTAAAATAAATCTACACCCAGACACACAATGTCTGTCAAGATCCCAGAAATTCAACTGAAAGAACAGAACATTAAAAGCTATTAGAGAAAAGAAACAGATCACCTATAAAGGAAAACTCATCAGAATCACGACTACTTCTCAACGCAGACCATCAAATCAAGAAGAGTTTGCAGTGGAGTATTCCAAGTCCTGAAAGAAACAACTTCCAATCCAGATTGATGTGCCCTGCAAAACTTTCTTTCGAAATTAACAGAGAAACAAGATACTTCCATGACAAAGAAGAACTGAAGGAATTCATGACCACCAAAACAACCCTATAAAAATACTGAAGGACATTCTAGAGAGAGATAAACATGACCATGATTACAGGAACCGTAGCAGGGGGGCTCACCAAGTTGGGCAGACAGTGGAATGGAGGGGAAAAGTAGAAAGCCAATGGCAGGAAAATAGCACGGCAGAGACAAGGCCATAACTATTAATGTAGATGGCCTCAATTCACTAATAAAAAGAAACACAGGCCAAGTGGATCAGGAGATAGGGTCCATCAATCTGTTTTACACAAGAAACACATTTAACTTTAGAAAGAAACATTTTCCTTTAGAAAGAAAATTCACAGACTGAAAGTCCAAGGAGAGAAAACAATGTTGTTTGTGACAGGGAGTCAGAAAAAAAGCAGGGGTAGCTTGCCCATCAATTGCAGAATGGATAAGAAAGACTTGGCATTTTTATACAATGGAAAGCTACTCAGCTATAAAGGAAGATAACCTCAAGGCTCTTGCAGGCAAATGCACACAACTCAAGATCATGTTCTTGATGAAAAAACATGAAACGGGTCAGTCACATGGGGGAACATCATGTCGTCTCGCTAGTGTAATGAGATCCAAAATGTACAGTACATATTGTGAAAGTGAAAGGGGAGGCAATGCCTAAAAAGGGAAGGCAGTGGCCACTGTGAATCTATTATTGGGTTTTGAAACCCTGTATTGTTTTCACTGTTCTGGTTTTATTCTGTTGTTTGATTTTATTATATTGGAGGGCATGGACAGCTAATTCAAAGATAACAAAATATATTACGGTAGCCATTATTGATTTCCTATTATCTTGTTTTGAAGACCTGTACTGCTTTCACTGTTTTGCTTTGATTTTATTCTATTTTGTTTTGTTTGATTGTATTATGTCTGATAGTATAGGCAGCGACTCTGAACAAGAGGCATTATGTTAGACCCTGTTGTTTTACTATTATTTCATCTTGAAGTCCTGTATTGCTTTTACTGTTTTGTTTATATTGATTTTATTCTGTTCTATTTTGTTTGATTTTATTATGCCCGATGGCATGGGTGGTTATTTTGAAGATAACAAGAGGCATTATGTTAGCCATTATGGATTTCCTTTTATCTTATTTTGAAGTTCCATACCATGTTCATTGTTTTGTTTTGATTGACTCTATTTTGTTTTATTTCTTTTGGTTTTATTCTCTTCCAAAATATGTTAGATTTAAAAAAAAAAAGACAACAGAAAATAGAAAGATATCCTTTGTTCTTATTCTTGGAAACAGAAACACTCAATCTGCTGGAAGATAGGATAGGTAAAATTCTCAAAAAAAAAAGAGGTATAGGCAAAGACACTATGAAAGAAACCTTGATCTCACAGGAAATGTTGCAAAGAATCAATAACTAAGATACAAAATCAAAAAGCTTTTGCATAGCAAAAGAAACACCAACAGAGTGAAGAGAAAACCCACAGAATGGGAAACATTTTACCAACTAGTCCTCAAAGTATTAACATCCAGAAATAAAGAACTTAAAAAAGCCCAGAATGCCAAAACTTAGAAAGACCCAATCTAAAAATGGGCGTTTGAGATGAACAGACATGTCTCACATGAAGAAGTAGATATAGCAAGTAAGTATGTGAAAATATATTTAACATCATTCGTCATTCAAGAAATACAAATGCAAATTAAAACAATACTGAGATTCCATCTCACTCCAGAAAGAATGGCTATCATCAAGAAATCAAAAACAAATACTAGCATAGCTGTGGAGAAAAAGGGACCCATCTCCACTGCTGGTGGAAGTGTAAATTGGTACAACCACTGTAGAAATCAGTATGAAGATTCCTCAAAAACTAAACGTAGAAGTTCCATTTAACTCAACTCTGGCTCTTCTAGGTATCTACAAGTAAAACAGGAAGAAAAACAAGAAAGAGAAACCCTTCCCACGAACCAGCTGGTATGTGGGGCTAGGAGACCAAAGCCAAGTCTTTCCCTCACAAGCAACTTGCTGAGTCACAGGAACACAGACTAGGATACAAAAACAACTTAATGCTTACATTATTTGATTGATTTTGCTGGTCTAAAGCCGGTAGTCTGAGTATCTATATAGAGGTTAATAATATATAATATAGCAACTATAAGGGATTTTCTTCCGTCTTGTTTTTGAAATCCAATATTGGTCTGTTTTGTTTTGCTCCATTTTATTGTTTTGTTTCAGTCAATGTTTTGTTTTGGTTTTATTCTGTTCTGCTTCTTTGATTTTATTCTGTCTGATGGTAGGGGGAGCAATTAACAAGAGGCATTATGGTATCAATGGTTGATTTCCCATTATCCTACTTTGAATTCCTGTATCACTTTCATTGTTTTGTTTTGATGGGTTTTATTCTGTTTTATGTTGTTTGTATTATTTTTTTAAATAAAAAATTTAAATTTTTTAAAATAAAAAAATAAACAGCAAAATAAGGTTATGTAGGAATAAAACTCCCCAAGGCAAACGCATTTTTATGTATCGTAAATATGCATTAGTAAAAAAACAAAACATGAAACATATAAAGCAAGATTAGTTGCTTAGAAGATGTAGCTTTCGGAGAGGATGCATTTCTTTTTATATGAAAACACATCCACCCTTCAAAGTCCAAAAAGTTAAGTCTGCTAAAAAGACTTGGAATTCTTCTTGATTTATAAGTCTTGATACTTCAATTCTTAGAACAATACACATTAAATATGCCAGCAAAGAATTCTGGGAGAATTTGTTTCAGTCCAAGAAAGGAGAGGTTTTATTACATTGTCTGAGGTTACTGTGATCAAAAAAACCAAATTCTCACTTTTTTATGAGAAACACCAATGTACAGGCAATTATACCTGTACATAATAACCCTAAAAAGGAACAACCTAGTTCTCAATTTTACTTTCCCACCTACAGCTACACTGTATGAAACAAATATTCATAGCCCTGGTATAAATTAGTTTTATATATATATCAAACATTGCATTTTACTCATCACCTCAGATAAACAATATAAAATGCAAAATAGTGATATGAATTAAAAGTTCCAAGTATATAATATCCAATACTTAGAAAAAGAAAAAAATGAAATATTTCACCAAGTACTGTATTTTCTCATACTTTTAAGACTATGTGTTTAATATAAATAAAAACTTCACTTTCATCAAACACAAACATTACAATACAAACTAATAAACTGCATTAGAAATTCATAAACATTTTAAATATTATGTGATGCGTGTATATACAAATTTCTCTAATGAAAAATAATACAAACAAAAATAACCTGACTGTATTACGTCAACTCAATGTACAGTACTGGATTTACAATAAGGGCAGTCAAAATGAACACTGAGGTCACATTATATAAGACAATGATCTTTAAAGGATGTTAAATACTTGCTTTCCATAAACATTTTTGGGTTTTGGTTGTGTAATAAATATGTAATAAATATCTGCAGTACAGTGTACATATTGAGAAGCTTATCTTTCTCCATTTGAAAGTCTTTCTCCAGAGTCATAATGTGTTAGAGGCATCCCAGTGAGTGGAAAGTTAGGATTTTGCAGCAAGTCCATTAACAAAGCAATTTTATCATCTATGTGCTCCTGGAGTTTATATATTCGCTGGTCAATGTAGTCCATAAGTTTCCTTTCCATCAGCTCCATATTTTTAGAAAGAATCTTTTCCAAGTAGGAGAAAATGGTTTGTTCTTCCATTCTAAAAATAAATTTTAAAAAGTATATCAATTTTGTCCAGTATTGCAAGTAAAACTAGCTATGCAATAAGCAAGCAATATGTATCACTAAAATTTACATTCACAATAGTACCATCTCCTTACAGCATTTTTTGAGATTCTAAACTACTTACACAACAGGTGGCTACAGCCCTGAATGTCCACTGCATTTTTATTTCTTTAATTCTTTTTATTCAGCATATAATTGAAGTGAGAATATAAAACTTAAGATGAATCTTTAAAGAGAAAAACTTTAGAAAAAACCTTTTTGGATTCTGAGTACTAAATAAAACTGATCTAGTCCAATTTTTTAACAATTGAACATACATATTTTCCAAGTAACCCTATAATTTCAAGCAGTTTTTCTTCTATACAAACAAGCTTACTAAAATACTGAAAGGCTCTTTATTAACCCAACAGGAAAATGTTGAAGACTGTAAGATGGGAAAACAACCAACCAAAAAAAAAAAAACAGTAACACCTATTTTTTTGTTCTTTTCCTTTTGTGATGGGTTTTGCTATGCAGTTTAGGCTGGCCTTAACCTTACTTTGTAGCCCAGGTTGGCCTCAAACTCACAGTGATCCCACACCCATTTCTAAATTTCAAGTGAACACCAGAATGATGAATCTCAGAAGATGGTTCACAAAATCCTGGAGTTTCCAGTAGTCATTCAGGGTTTCAATCAGGGTACAGTATTTTTATACTAACAGGAAGATGGTATTTGACTTTTCCATCCTTTTACTTTGTGACTATACAGTGGTATTTTCCAGATGTAACATAATGTGTAAAGTTACTGCTCCTAGTAACTAATAGAATTTTTAATTATGAATTCACTTATCACGAATTTCATACAGCTTATTATATAAATACATGCTTTCTCAGAGATTAACTCAGTTTGATCTCTAAATTTCTACTGTGCTATACTTGACTATACATCTCAAATACAACATGTATCAGAACAGATGGATACTAATACAGATTTTTATATATTAAGTCATTCTCATTATAACTTAAGAAAAGAATTTGGCTAATTTTTACATAAATATGTTAATATATATATTAACAATTTTTAAAAAAATAATGACTTTATTTTTTTATTACCTTTAAAACAAATATTTTACATGGCTGCTTATAGTTTTTTTGGGGGGTCCTCAATTTTTTTTCCTCAATTATTTTTTAGAGTAAGTTTGAGAATAAAGTTTGAGAATCACTACCCTAGAATAATACACACTAAGGAGGGTTTTTTAAAAATAACTATTTAAAATTTATAGATTCAAATAAAGCTGGAAGATGGTAAGTTCCTCAGTAACTATCTTGGTTACTTTTCTCTCGATACTGAGACAAAATACCCATCACCCAAAATTAAAGAGAGAAAGGTTTATTTAACTCATAGTTTGTGGAGGTTTCAGTCCTCATTAGCTGACTCCAAAGCATGGTGGTGTGCCAGAAAGGCAACAGTTCATGGCAGCAGAAGATAGCAAACGCTACAAGAGACGAAAGGGGAAGAGAGGGATTGAGGATTTAGCTCAGTGGCATAAGTGCCTGCCTGGCAGGCAGGAGGTCATGAGTTTGATCTCCAGTACCAAAAAAAAAAAAAAGGTGTAGGTGGGGAGACAGAAAGAGACAGCAAGGCTCATTCCTTCCCTTACATTATATGCAGACTACCTGCCCCAGGGTGGTGTAGCACTCACACCCATAATCCCACCACTGAACTGTAAATCAATCACAAACTCTAGAAGCCCAACTGCAGGACTCCATGAGGCTCTGGGAGATGTCTAGACACAAACCATAACAGTAAACTTCACCTCATTTTCTCACTGTTAAGATACTACCTAAGATGTAATATCAAAACCAGCAAATTGATATTAGTACAATATATGTATAGTTCTATGCCATTTCACCACATGTACAATCATTCATTCACCTAGTCACCAGCACAACCAAGAGGCAGGATTATCCTAACTGCAAAGATCTCCCTGCTGCTGCTCTATGGTCACATTCACTTCCCTAGTTCCCAGTCACCACTAAAATGTTCTCCATTCTTTTTTTTTTGAAGAATGTGATATAAATGGGATCAAATAGTATGTGATCACTTAAGATTCTCTTACCATTCAATACCCTTGAGAAACATTTAAATTGCGGCTTTTTTATTGCTGATTAGCATACTATGTATGCAGTGCTCCTTTAACTATTCACCTACTGTCAGAAATTCTGGTTGTTTCTAGTTTGAGGCTATTGCAAATAAACTCTCAATGAACAACGATGTGTGGGGTTTTATATAGCTATCATCCTTCATTTTTTAAGGATAATTGTCCAAGAGAATGACTGTTAGGTCATATGGTACTGTGCATTTAGTTGGTAAGAAAAAGAAACTTTTTAGTCTGGCTACACTGTTTTACATTCCCATCAGCAACTTATAAGATCCAGTTTTTCTATATCCTTTCAGCATTTGGTACTGCTATCACATTTTACTTTTTTTTTTTTTTTTTTGAGACAGGGTCTCACTGTGTACTTCAGAATGGCCTTCAACTTATGGTGAACCTCTTGCCTCAGCCTCCTGTGTGTTGGGATTATAGGTGTGTGCCAGCTCACCCAGCCTATTTAAATTTTAGTCACTTAAATATCTAGGTGGTGGTACAGTGTTAATATGCATTCCTCCAAAAGCAACAAAGTCAATGTTGTTCATGATGTTCTCTCCTCATCCCTGGAATAAAGGCTATTTTTACTTTATATTCTCTTTCATAATGCTGAAAACTCTTTCATAATGGTGTCATGACTCGGATGGCAGAGTGAGTGGCTCCTGGGAATCTCTCCCAGTTTGAGTCCCCCTGCCTAAGAACCACTTTTTCTTCCTCCTGGACTGTTTACTTGCTGCCACTAATCTGCATGCAACAGTAACCTTCCTCACTGAACAGGGGTGAGCTACCATCTGTCTGGGGTTTTCTATTTCTGTTCTTTAGCAAGCTTGTGACAGAAAATCCATCTGCCACCCAGAACAGGGATACCAGTTTTCACACTTAGGCCATATGGCTTGAGGCAAAACTGGTATTTTTGTTCCCTGGGACCCTACCCCACACTCTTTGGTGACCTGACAGAGGAGAATGGGTACTGGGATCTTCTGTGTCACACTTTCAAAACAGATGATGACCTCTTTAGTTAAGTGTGACGCAGGACAGCTTCTACGTTCCTTGGGAGAAGCTAAAGCTCTTATATTCCAAGGCGAAGCTGTTCTTCTCTCAGCTCACTTATAATTCGGTCATGGGGACCACTTCCTGTCCCCTTGGGGTGCCTGGCCCATAACCTTGGTGCTCTTGGCTTCTAGAAGGCTATGAAAACTTTGGCTCATCTTTTATTTATGCTTATGTCACAATGGCAGCAAGTTGGCAGAAACCCTTCATCTTTAAGCTTTTTTCATTTAAGGACATGTCCTTCTCTCACTCTGTCTTCTATGATGGCCCAAATACTTCTGGCTCACTCTGCTTCTCCAGGATCTCTCCCTCCCTCCCCACTGGACCCCCTAGATGATGCATCTCCTGTCTTTACGGCTCCTCCCCTGCATCTCTCTTACCAAACCCTACAGACTTCTCAGCCAGAGGTTTCTTAGCCTCCTGTGCCATCCTTTCCCCATCCTCACTCACAGCGGCCTCTAATCCTTCTTTTAGCATCTCTCTTGTCTCCAACTTCTCCATCCCCCCCACCTGACCCATCTGGGGGTTCTTTGTCTCCTTCCTCTACACTGCCATTTTCTTTGCCTGTCTCATGCATTCCAACTTTCCAGCAGGCCACATACTTTGCAGAAGCCACGTTGCTGCAACTTGCATGGAGGACAGCTGCCATCATGCAGCCCTCCGCCAAGTGGCAGGGTGTCGCCATCTTGTGACGGATCTCAGGGTCAATGGCTGCCCCTTTGTGGGGCCTCGTGGGATCAGCAGCAGCTATCTAACTGTGGGTCATATGATGACCAGCCACCATCTGGCACCCCCTCACTGTGCTACCGGCAACAGCTAGGCTGCTGTGGGTCACACAGTGACCCGCCAACAGCCTGCATGTCCTTGTCACATGGTGAGGAACAGTCGTTTTATAGCCAATCATTGGATAATTGCCCACACACGCCTGCCAGATGGTTGGCTACTGGGTGGCCACAGCCTTCTCAGCCTCAGTCTCTGCTTCTGCTTCAGGAACAGGACGGCCCCGTTCCCAAGAGATTAGCTAATATTTATATTCCTTTTTTTCCTTTCTGAGCTATCTCAGAATAGCCATAAATTAGGTCCCTTTTCTCATATTCTTATTTCAAGAGATCTCTATTAATTGGTCTATAAAAAGGTTCACGCTAGTCTATTTATTATAGTTCAAATTAGCTAAATATATTTGAGTACACTCTGATTTTATGATTGTCAGGTTACATATCTGTTATCTATTTGCCTAGTCTGTTTATATTGTACATATCATCTGTCCAGATCTGTCCATCTGCCTGCTCTGTAAACAGCTGTTCCTTTTTATTTGAGCACCACAATCTTGTTTCCTCCTGTTTTACATTTTCAGATCATTTAATCAACATGCTTCCACCTAGGTTGCCAGCCGGTCAAAATGATAGTAAAATCGGTTAAACAAAATCCTTTGGGGTGAGGAGACATTGGACAGGACTTCAATTGATGAACAAGAAAGTAACCACCTGGTACTTTAACCAGTTCTTATTTATTAATTGGAGGCCCCAATAATCTCCATAGTTCATACGACTAAAAAATGAATTGCTGCTGATCTGATGGAATATTCATGTCTTCAAATGTAAAATTGGGATTGTTTATGACAAGTGTTTTCTTTCAGATCCAGATGATGGCCTTTTTCTTGTGCTCAAGCCAGGAAATTCATTTCAGACCACTAGTCAAATGATAATTTTTAAACAAAAATTTATATAAGGTATATGCTATACTTAGAGATGCTTAAATAGTGAGCAGTCCAAACAATGTCACAAATTTCTTCAGTGCTCAAATATTAAAACACCCATGGTTAATGTTAAGCTTACTGTTTCTACTGCACTGTACTGTTATCAACCTTCTAGATGTTCAACAACAAAACTAAGAGATAATTATAAACCCTTTTGGATTCCTTTTGCTGGGATCCACCAGATCTTTTCAAAAAAAAAGGTTATATGATGCATATTGGGGCCATAATTGACTATATTCAACTGGTGTTAAATGACACTGCAGATGATCTCTTTACTAAATAAAAAGGTAAAATTAATAAAACAGGCCATCATCCAAAAATCAGATAGCATTAGACATTCTAACAGCATAAAAGATAACTTTAAAGTTATAATTATAAACACCCTTTTCATGGTATTGACTCCTGCATACGTGACTCTTTGCCTTTGTCTCTTTTAGACTTAAAGCTGTACACCTACCCAAGATAAAAACCAAATGTCTTGTGACTGTGCAGGAGACAGATACCTTCCACTATGGGCCAGATTCCAAGACAAAAAGCTAAACTGGGCCCTCAAACCCCACAAGGAGACCTTCTTAATATAACTTTTCAGGTTTTCAACAACAGAGATAAAAATTAAAAGGAAAAATAACTGTTGTACTCTAAGAAAGTAGCTTCATCATTTTGTGTATTATAGCAAACCTGCAACGTAGCTTACTAAATGTGTTTTTTTTATCCTTTTTCCCTAACTGATATGTTAAGTGACCTAATTGATATGTTGAGCAATACTCTCCTCTGTAAAGAATTGCAAGAATTTCACTTAATTGATATGTTAACCAGAGCGGCCCTCTACAAACAAGAAGAGTGGTGCTAAAACAAGCTAACAAGGGTTATTAATCACGGTTAGGCGCCTCTATTCTTCGCTAAAGAGCTAAAGAAGACTAGGATGGCCCACTAATTTACACTTGTTTGAAGTAACTTGTTTATATGCAGGGAGATTTGCGTATGAGTTTAACCTTTTTACCTAACCTTGGTTCCCTTTCCCACAAGATAGATACCCACCGTTTTCCTGTTCTGTAGTGCACCTTATTGCCTTCCCCCACCCACCTATCTGGGCCATAAAGAATTTGGGTTTCTGGTGACCTCTCCCCGACCCGGTGATGATCTGTCATAAAATGAGCCTGCCCCAATTTTAAGAACTGCTTAGCTTAAAAGAAATTACCGAGTAATACTATGGCCCAAACCCCGATCTGTGCCTTCCTTTTTGCTCTGTATGTATCAAATGAGTTAGATATCAGATCTTTGTAAAACTTAAGTTTCAGCGTCTTGTAACTCGTGACCCCTTCGCACTCACTAGCGAAGACGAGCTGTCTTGGGATAATTAACTCTCTACTTTCTTCTCCAAATATTGCTGCAGACGTGCCACTCTGAGATAATGTCAGTCTGCAGGATGGGAGTAATTCGAGGAACACCAGGAACTCCCAAGATTGTCAGAGCTAAGTGGACAGCAATACACTTTCCAGATGCAGGTCAACAGGTTTAATGGCCTTGCAGGCCCCCCCCC